TCTCATCGGTCTATTTCCAATCAGTGATGAACTCTCAATGCTCTGCTGCTGCCCTTTTAGAAGCAGAGGTGTCCACAGATGCTCCCTCCCAGGTGGGGAAATGCTCCCCCAATCCCAGGCCTCCTGGGTCCCTCCTTCCATGGGTCAGGCTCCGGTGCCTGGCACTCTGAACACACACATTTCTCAGGGCTGTGTAAACCTTGCAGAGGAAGCCATCCAAAGAAGAGAGAGCTTCAGGCCCAATCCCCCACCAGGATTTGCATGCCTCCACGCACGAGCCGATCTGCAGAGAGTAGCACGCGTCAAGGAGACCACTCAGCAGCTCAGCTTTCTCCAGTTTGCTGGAAGACAGTGGAAAAGTCACCTGATGTCTTTGGCCATCAGCCTTTCGATTGTCACAATGAGGGGCTTGGACTACATAAATTCCGTATTATTTCCCTGTAATGCCCTAGCCTTTTGCAGTTGCTTATGTTATACTGAGTGGCCGCATTTCTTCCCCAGGTGGGAATCAGCCCTTACACTGGTGCTCAGAGGACACTCTGCATCTGAGTGGTGGGAGCAGTTAAAGCCCGTAATTCCATGATGATGAGCACCAGGTCTGAGGTTCTTGAACAATTCATGTCTATTTATAGAGAATCTGGGATCCCATCCAGCAGTCCTGCTGATTGCATCAACCAAATAATAAACGTGCTTGAGAAATCCGTTATGTGTCAATTCCAGGAGCCTGGGTTAGCAGCTCAGCTCTCACGGCTTGCTAGTCTGGCTGGCCTTCACAGGGTGACCAACCAGCGTGGTTTGCTGGGGACTGGGTGGATTCCCAGAACTCAAGCCTTTCAATGCTAAAACCAGCACAGTGCCAAACACCCAGCAATCGGTAACCCAGCTCTACTTGCCTCTAATAATGCTGATTAAGAGCCTACCATGTGTTACCTTTTACGAGGACTTTACCAGTATCATGGGATCTTCACAACAACACTTATGATATTAGAATCACGCCATTTCACAGATGATGAGACTAAGGCCCAGAAAGGTTACACAACTTTCTCAAGGTCACAAGGCTACTGAGCATCAGAATAAGCAATCATTTCAAATCAGGAATTTGAAAACTGACTGGGTGTTTTAGGACATCAAGGAATGATTGGTAACTGTTGTGGATGTGATATTATTATTATGGTTACTGTTTTTTAAAAGTGTGAATCTTTTTTACTGATGAAAAAAATCAAGGGCGCCTGGGTGGCTCAGTTGGTTAGGCGACTGCCTTCGGCTCAGGTCATGATCCTGGAGTCCCGGGATCGAGTCCCGCATCAGGCTCCCTGCTCAGCAGGGAGTCTGCTTCTCCCTCTCCCACTCCCCGTTTGTGTTCCCTCTCTCGCTGTGTCTTTCTCTGTCAAATAAAATAAAAAAAAAAAAAAATCAAATAAAACCCATGTCCGTTAAGTCTTATCAGGCTCAAATCCCCATGAGTGATCTCCGCCAGTGCCGATCCCGAGGATCACAATAATGTACAAAGTTTCAAACCCAGAGGCTCATGCTGGGTCTGCCCCTAACAAAACAAGTGATCTTGGGGGAGTCACTTTGTCCCTTTCTTCCTCTAAATTAAGTAGCTTGGTGTGATTATTTCCATGCCCCATTTTTCTGTGTGATTATCAGGCTGAATGATGGTAGTTACCTGGGTCTGGTGGGACAGTTTTCTACACGAGGGTTCTTTAATAGAATATAGACTGTGCCCAATATATATTTTCCAGTTTGCCTGGTTTTAGACATAATCTTCATCACAAATATATTTTTTTTTCTAGGAGAAAAGTCTTGATATTCAAACTTCTTAGTGTTTATTTGGTTAGCAGTGGAATCTTTTCTTCAAATGAAATATTCCCAGATGCCTAACTTTATAAAACCTTTTAAAGCGAGTTGTTCTCATCTAAAGGAGAGCCAAGAATCCCCAAAATAGCATCTTTTGGAAACTTCCTGGTCTATGGCATCCTGGCCAGCATAAATCTAAGAAGATTGAAAGAAATACTCAGTAATGCAATGATTATGTCTCTATAAAGTAGGGTCGGCAAACTTTGTGGAAAGGGCTGAACAGTAAATATTTTAGGCTCTGTGGGCCATAAGGTGTCTGTCTCCTCAATTTGTAGCATAAACACAGACAATCCATAAAAGAATGGATGTGGCCAAGTTCCCATATAATTTTATTTATAGGCACAAATGTGAATTTCATATACTTTTCAAGCGCCACAAAATATTCTCCCCGCTCCCTCCCTGACCACTTGAAAATGTAAAAACTATTCGTCGTTGGTGGGCCATATGAAAACAGGTGGTGGGCCTGACCTGGCACATGGGCCACTGTGTGTGGACCCGTTGTAAAGCCTACTCATTCACAGGAGACACTAAAAGGTGCCAGTAGCCTCGTTTCAAGTCTGGCCTCTAAGAGTTACTCTCTGCACATTTGTGGGAGAGCTTTGCAAGCCCTCAAGGCCTCAGCTTCCTCAGATGTAAGAGGGGAGTAAAAGAAACCTATATACGGCCAGGGATACATGGGGAGTCTCTGTACTTCCCACTCAGTTTTGCAGTGAGCCTAAAACCGTTCTTAACTATAAACTCTACTTTAAAGATAAATAAATAAAGCCTACTTCGTGAGTTTATTGTTAGGATGAAATGATATAAGACGATAAAAACTCTTTGCACCTGGTGGGCATTCTTAAACTGTCATTACCCAGCTCTCCTGGAAACTAGGGACCTGCCCTTCTTGGCCTTACTCCTGATTAACCTTCAAAGAGCAGCGACCCTGGTGCGCCAGAGCCCTGGAGCAAGGAACCTGGATCCGGGGCGGGTTTTGGCAGAATGAGCTGACCTAGAATCAGTGCGGATGAAACTTACAAGTGTACCTGCCCCGCCGCCCCCCCCACCTCATGACTGGCTGAACTCCGGGGCCTTTCCCCTGGGAGACAAGCTTGTTTGCCTTTCTTCTGCAACTTTTCCCAAAGGTCTGGGCAATGTTCGCTTAAGTATCTTTATCACTGTTGCCTCCAACTCCTGCCCTAGATTCCCCATCTTGGCCATGAGAGCTATATATAATCCCTGCTGAGGTTCCCGTGGCCTTCCTCCTCCAGCCACCTGCCTGGAAGGTGGGGGTCCCATAGCACTCTTCCCCTCCTTCATTTCTCCACTCCTTTACCCTCTGCCCCACTGAGCTGCCTCTTCTCTGGGCAGCTCTCTGGCCTCGAAATGTGGAGTGTCCACTGCTCCTGGGGGTACATTTCTGGACTGGCTGGCCGTGTCCAGCTTGTCCTGTCTGTAGGAACTGGGGTCTGGGCTATCACTCTTCCTGCTCAGAGTCTTGTTTAGTGGCTTTAGATCTCTGTATTGTCATCGCCGAAAGACTCCTGGTGGGTCTTCTCCTTTCTTCTCTCCCTCAGCCCCCACCTAAAGTCTGCACAGGAGGGATGGCTCTGTGCATTCTAAATTCAAGGCACATACCTATCCTCAGTCAAGTTCATCCTGCCCCTCCCATGTTGTTCAACATCACTAGCCATCAGGGAAATTCAAATCAAAACCACACTGAGATACCACCTTACACCAGTTAGAATGGCAAACATTAACAAGGCAGGAAACAACAAATGTTGGAGAGGATGCAGAGAAAGGGGAACCCTTTTACGCTGTTGGTGGGAATGCAAGCTGGTACAGTCACTTTGGAAAACAGTATGGAGGTTCCTCAAAAAGTTAAAAATAGAGCTACCCTATGACTCAGCAATTACACTACTGGGTATTTACCCCAAAGACACAGATGTAGTGAAAAGAAGGACCATATGCACCCCAATATTCATAGCAGCAATGTCCGCAATAGCCAAACTGTGGAAAGAGCCAAGATGCCCTTCAACAGATGAATGGATAAAGAAGATGTGGTCCATATATACAATGGAATATTACTCAGCCATCAGAAAGGATGAATACCCAACTTTTACATCAACATGGATGGGACTGAAGGAGATTATGCTAAGTGAAATAAGTCAAGCAGAGAAAGACAATTATCATATGGTTTTACTTATATGTGGAACATAAGGAATAACACGGAGGACATTAGGAGAAGGAAAGGAAAAATGAAGGGGGAGAAACTGGAGGGGGAGACGAACCAGGAGAGACTGTGGACTCCGGGAAACAAACTGAGGGTTTCAGAGGGGATGGGGATGGGGGGATGGGTTAGCCTGGTGATGGGTATAAAGGAGGGCACGAATCGCGTGGAGCACTGGGTGTTATACGCAAACAATGAATCATGGAACGCTACATCAAAAACTAATGAAGTACTGTATGGTGACTAACATACATAATAAAAAAATAAAAACAACTCTCATTTTACTTTTCTTTTTGTTTAAAAACCAGAGCACATCCTGTATATTTACATTACAGAAGTAACCCATATGCCTTATTCAAAGTGCAAAAAAGTTGAAGAGAAAAATAATCAACCATACCCTTATCCAACATTTTGAAATAACTTCCTATCGAAGGATTTAGAGATATTGCTGGGATTATAGTAGTGGATGCTGTCTAGTCATTTAACTCAGCAACGCTACTATTTTTCCGTTATTACTCTCTTAGTGAGCATCACTCTATGACTTCGTAATATTTCAACCAGGGATCACATTCTGTTTTATTTAATCATCTCCGTTTTATTGAATATTTGTTTCCAGTTTCCACCATTATAAATAATACTCAAAACAATATATTTGTGCATTGATGATTTTTATTGTATCTTAAATTACTTATTTATGGTTGACTGCTACAGGTAGAATAACTACAAGAACATCTGAAAGGTACTTATGTGTTTTTTAAGGGAAAAGCATTGTCAGGGTGTGTGTTGAATGATGTGGTCACTGCTGACTTTCTGCGTTTTCCCGGCTAGTCGAGAATCTTGGTCTTGGGCTGCTCCCCCAGAAGCATCCTCAAGAAAATTCCCGATCAGCTTGCCACCCTGACACCAAACCACGATCTTTCCTTCCCTTTAGCTTACTTGGCTGCAAACTCTACCAGATCAACTACATGGACCAACTTTTGTTTCGGAACATAAATACCAGCTCAACCATTCGTCATTTCGCCTGACCTTTCTGAGTACATCAACTTGTCTCTGATCTATAGCAAACCTAACCGCTTTGTTTTAAGAGAAATTCCAAGAAGGGAATCCCCAGATCAGCTTTAGCCTGGTAAGTGAAGCTATAATACTGCACTGTGAAAACCTTGGGGGGATCAAGCAGTCACATTGCTCTGGCCCCTTGTCTGCCACTGTTCACTGGTAGTTTCATGTGTCCTGAAAACGTCTTCTTTCTGAACATCCCGAGGGCCAGATTGCTTCCAGGAATCCTGCATCCAATTGGGTGACTGCACGTACACTCCCTCAAGTGCATCCTCCCATAGCCACGTATCTGGCTGACTTCAGAAAAGCATGAACTGATCTTGGTTTTGGCTCAGGTCACGATCTCATGGGTCCTGAGGCTGAGCCCCACATGGGGCTCCATACTCAGCAGGGAGTCTGCTTGAGATCCTCTCTCTCTGCCCTCCCCCGCTCACTCTCTCTCTCTCTCAAATAAGTAAATCCAAAAAAAAAAAAAAAAAGGTTGGCTTTTGCCTTTTCTGTCAAATAGCCCCACCAGCTCTTTGCGCCAACCTGTAGCACTCCCTCGGTGGGACCGGTCTGCGGCAGAAGATTCCGGGGCACGACGGTTATCAGAAGTGACTAGGGTGCCCTCTATTCTCATTCTGGGAGACAGCAACCTCCTGTGTCAAGTGACAGCAGTGTAATTCGCTACCTGCCTCCTTTTCAGAATGAGTAAAAACCCGATCCATCCAGAAAATCCATCTGGAACTGATCTCCATGCTTTTATATTTAGGCAGCATTTACCTTACGGAAATATCAGATTTGCTTTACTGCCAGAAAGGGCCTTGGAGCTCATCTTGAGAGCCTGTTGGAGGTTTTAGCTGGGGGTCACAGGCAGCCACTTCTAAACCCTTGCCTGATGGGCTGTCCTTGGTCTGGGGAAAGATCGTCTTGGAGTGGCGGCACAGATTTGGGAGGGAAGGTGGCCTCTGGGGCTGTGAAGACCGCCCCCGGCCAGCTATGCTCCCTGTCCTCACCTGTCGGTGGGAAGAAGAGACGCATCTGCCAAGCGCTCTGCATGGCACTTGGCACGAGAGGTGACCAACGCTGAGAATCATTATCGTCGGCTAGGTGGGTCCCCTGGTGAACTGCGGCAGCCAAGACGATGACCAACGTAGGCAGGTCACCATCCCAACCCAAAGAGCATCCATTTTACTCTTGCACTTCACAGGTGAGGACAGTGACCTACAGGTGACTCGGTGGCTGACCTGAGGTCATGTTAGGACTTACACTCAGCTCTCCTGACCCAAAGCCCACTGTTCCTTCTGGTACCGTGCACTGCCTGCCAAAAATTCAGGCCACCATCTTGCCCTCCGGACAAGGACACACCAGGAGGTGGCTGAGTTGACCGTACGGAGATGGGCAAGTCACATGCCCACCGAGGTCTTAGCCATGGACGTGGGTCTCTGGGCTGGGACAGCTGGGTTTCCCTAGCAACCTGACCTCCCTTTCTGAGTTCCGGACACCGCTTCCCGGGTCTGTTCAACAACACCCCACGGGCACAGGAGGCAGACGCACCTTTCTCTGCAAACCGTCTGGAGGACATTTTGACAATACACTTTTAAGCCTGAAAAAACTCCCCATTGGTGCTCACATGCATCTACACAGGAGATAAAATGTCATAGAACGTTTCAAACAAAGAGCACACGTAAAAACTGTCGCCCTCCGAATAAGGTCTGTCGCTTGGCGAATAGTGTACCCTGATGTTCATTTCCTGATTTTGCTAGTGTACTGTGGTTATATGAGATATTATCATTGCAGGGAGCCGAGACCTTTCTGTACTATTTTTGCTACCTCTTGTGACTCTAAAATTATTTCAAGATTAAAAAAAAAAAATTCAACATACAAGTCCCCATGCTTTGCCCCGTTCTTCCAGAAATTATCCTAAGGAAATAAAGATGCATACAGAAACAGCCCTAACATCCACCATAGGAAGTTTTAAAGGAAATTCTCACGCAGCTAGTCAATGGAGAGTGCGGAGCCTAAGTCACCCCGTGGTGAGGACAGTGATCACAGTGAGGGGTGAACGTCAGCGCGGCTGGGCTTTGCAATGTTGTATCTGCTGGACCTTACACGAGCTTTTAGGCATCTCTGCCCCTTGGACTCCTCATCTGTGAAATGAATATCAGGTTTACCTTGTGGCATCGTTGGTGTTGAATCTATACCTGTAAAGCATGTGCAGAACAGCATCTGACACCTTTATGTGCTCAATAAACATGAGCTATTATCATGTTAAGGAACACTAATGATAGGAGAAATTGTTGCTATTAGTGAAAACTGGGGACTCTAAAACTGTATTTATAGTACCGACGGGCACAGAGATGCATGAAGCAGTGACTGTAAGGTCTCCCCGCGGCGTTACAAGTGTTTGTCTTCAGGTGGTGCTTCTTTGTTTCCCTCTTTACGCTCTTCTACGATTTCTAAAAATAATTCAATAGCACTAGGGTTTTGAACTTTTAAAGGAGGATAAAAGGTGACCCTTGGTTAAAATGAGTGGATACGTGACGACCTCTCTGCTGCTGTGAGGCTGAGCTGCTCTGCCTGGAAACTCAGCCACACAGTGACTTCTGTGCGACCTGTTGAGCCCCGGACGTCAGTTTCTGAGATGCCCGTACTCCCTAAGGAAGGAGGAGTGGGGTGTAAGTCTCCAGGGTGCACAGTTATTTGCTGTTGCCAATACAATACCCATGCTGGCTGTGAGCCCTGGGGTCCCCAAGCGCACGCAGTCTGCCCATAAAACATGGGCCATGCTTGGGAGACTGGGGAGATGCAGCGTCTAGAGAGCTGGCCCCGGCAGGATGATCGGTCACCTGCCGCAGTCTCCACACTCCCATTCCCATCCCCAAACAGGAGTCTCCGAGGGACACAGGCTAACCGACGGGGTTGCACCCCACGCTGCTCCAGGGAGACCATTCTGGGGCCCAATCCCATTTTCTTATTTTTTTCTTTATGCTTTCCTCTTCTCTCCTGTAATGGAGCCAACCCACAGTGGCTGGGCTTCTCTCCTCGGGCCTGGTTGTTCTCATGAAGGTCTCTCGTGGGCACTTGTGGGCACTCAAGCCTCCTATTCATCCTTGTCCAGGGTTCTGGCTCCTTCTCTAACCCTATCGATGACCCTCAGCAGGCTCTGGAAGAGGAACAAGGAGCCGCCGGGCCCTGGGGGTGCAGAGGAATTTAGGGGTCAGGCCCCAGCAGGGCTGCCGTGGTTAGTTAGGCCAGGCGGGAACACAGAGGGCTTGTGTGACCTAAATAGACACCCCCGGTCCCTTCAAGAGGCTGCCCCCACCCTGGCAAGAACACACTAATGAAGCCCCTTTCCATCCTAAGGTCTTCGAGCCTGCGCGAGGCCCAGATTCAGACTGCCAAGGGGTGGTGCCACTTGGCAAGAGGAGTGGAGAGGAGATGGGGAGACACGGCCTCAGAGCTGACCCCCCACTTCTGGAGGACACCACACCAGGCTAAAAGGAAAGAGATCCCCCCAGATCTCATTTTGGAGGTTAAAATTTCTCTCCATTCTATGCCCTCAACGAACATCCCCTAACTCCTGGATGGGTGCCCACTTGGGGCACTTCTCCACTTCAAAGTCCCCAGTGGCTTTTCCAGGGCATTTGGAATAAAAGCCAAGTCTTTACCAGGCTTATTGCTTCCTGCCGCCTCTCGATTTGCCCTCTCCCTTCCTCCAGCAGCTCTAGTCCCTTTGGCCTCCTTTTTGCTCCTTCTACGTGCCAGGTTCCTTCCCAAGGCAGGGCCTTTGCAAATGCTGTTCCTACGCCCGGACAACTTGCCTCCCCCACCTTCTCCCCCACCGACCCCACCCCCCAGCAGGGATTCCTTCTGCACCCCATCACTAGAAGGTGGGCTCTAAGACGGCCAAGTTTGTCTCTGCTGTCCACACGTCGCCCCAGTGCTAAGAACAGGGCAGGGCAGGGAGCAGATGCTGAAGGAGACCATGGAAGAGACGGGCTTTCACTCAGTGGCTCTTTGTGTCACATGCTCTTCGTTGCATGTGAAAACTTGCTTCCCTAGAGAAGGTGGAGTCTGTGCTGGTGCCTTGGGGCGTGGGGTGGGGAGGGGGGAAGTATATCACTGCAATCCGGTGCACTGGCTCGCAGGTCCCGTGGGTCTCCCCTGCCAGCACCTCGCAGGGCACTTGGGCCTAGGTGAGAGGAGCTAAGACCGGAATCAGGGCAGGGACGATGGGAAGGAGCGGAGTGAACAGCCTGAAGACAGCATGAGCTATGCCAAGGAGGAGGGCTACTACAGCCAGACTCAGCAAACAGCCTCACTGCAGACTGTCCCAGGGAAGGTCACATCACCCTGAAAGGCTGCCTGGGAGGGTCATGCTACCTGCCCTGCCTGCTTGGAAGAGGATCTCCTAATTCTGTGCATGTTTTCATCTCTACAGCGGAGAAGAACTGGGGGAGGGCATGTACTTTCTAAATGACTTGCTTCTGTAGAATTATTCATTTCTAACTTTTCAAAAGAGGCAACATTGTCCGAAAGATGCCAAGGTGATAACAGGGAGGGGCCGGGCATCCTGCCCCCCCCCCCCCGGAGGCACCGCCCATAAACACTGAGGTTTGGCTGAGAGCCTCCGAGCAGGACCGCAGAGGCCCAGGCAGACTGCTGGGCTAGGAGCGATGATGTGCTCTGGTCCTCCCTGGCCAGGCCTCTAGTCGTGGGTGGGGAGGGAAAAATGTCGGTGGCCTTGCCCCAGCCTAAAAGGGTCCCGTAGGAGGGACAGACACTGAGCAGGACTACTACAGAAATGGCCCAAGGTACCCAGGGGAGGTCACGTTTTAATTCTAATGGGGCTGGGGGAGCAGGTGTCGGGGAAGATGCTGTGCTGGTGGACTTGAAACCCGAAAGATGATTTAGCCAGAGGCCTATGTGAGAAGGGTGGTCCTGGCGGAAAAACAATACACAAGTGAAAGCAGGCACAGGTGACTCAATGTGTGCATTGTGGGAAAATGGCCCAGAGCATTGTGGGACCCTCCCTCGGGCCAGGTGCTTTGTGGGAAAATGGCCCGGAGCATTGTGGGACCCTCCCTCGGGCCAGGTGCTTTGTGGGAAAATGGCCCGGAGCATTGTGGGACCCTCCCTCGGGCCAGGTGCTTTGTGGGAAAATGGCCCAGAGCATTGTGGGACCCTCCCTCGGGCCAGGTGCTTTGTGGGAAAATGGCCCGGAGCATTGTGGGAACCAGCGGCCACTGCACTGTGGGAAAATGGCCCAGAACATGGTAGGCACCAGTGCATTGTGGGAACTTCCTGCACAGAGCTTGAGATAAGGGGGTCCAAGCAGCTGGGCTGGAAACATGGGCATAGGTTTATTTACTACAGCTGGATTTTTTCCTGCCCCCTTCCCCTTATTTGTTTTTTTCCTCTTTAATACTCATCATCCATTAAAAGCCTGCATGCACTTGACTCATTTATCTTAATCCTTATTGTCTGTTTTACCACCAGAAGAGGAGCTCTAGCAGGACAAGGACTTTGCCATATTTGAACTGTATCCCCTACACTTCTTGGCACACAGAAGGCGCTGGATAAAGGGCTGGTAAGTAAATGAGCTCTGAGGGTCATCCTCGGACCAGCATCACCCGGGGAAGGTAGCATCGTTGCCTGATGGCCTTGGATGTCATGTAAACAAACGTTCTTCATTTTACGACTTATTCTAAAAACCCACACTGGCACAGTACTCAGCTGGCATCCAGTCTGTGACTTCGTGGATGATGCTGCTTAGAGTAAGGCCAAGCGGAGAAAGAAAAAAGAACGCTTTGAAAGAAAACTTTTAGTGTAGCAGAGTGCAGAGGGCAAGGTCCAGGTGGGAAACACCCAAGACTGACAGGCCCAGATGGACATTCTGCAAAGATGACTCAGGCAACAGTCTAGTGTGCCAGGACAAGGGAGCAGGGTAGAGAGGCTGTTCTAAAGGTCCAGGGGACAAAATAGGGGGTGAGCTAAGGGAGTGTGGTGAGGAGCAGTGGGATGGAGGGAGCTGGCAGGCCCTGATCAGGTGTGGAAGCTGGGACGGGGCGCGGGGGGCCGTACCATAGCTCCTACCTGTATCTGTTAGCCCAGGACCTTCCATACAGTAGGTGCTCAGGAAATATGCAGTGAGGGACTCAGTGAGGAGATGGATGAATCACATAATCCTCTGGGGCTTCTCATGCCCCCATCGAAGAGGCAGTTAGACAAGGGCCAGGGGCATGGCAGAGGGCCGGCCAGCCCCACCCGCACCGCAGTCACGGAGGGACTCGCTTCTGGCCAGCCCTCGGGGGCTTTGCAGAGCGACAGGTTCACAGGATGGGAAGGTCCCACCGCAGCCAGGGAAGTGATGAGGACAGGGTCTGGCCTGAAAGACAATTTCTTTGACACTCCTATTAGCCCTGTCTAGACTAACCAGCTTCTCTCCTGACAGTGGAAAGGAGGTAGCAAGGACTCTGCTTCTCCTTAAGTTGCTCACATGGACCTGTCAGGAGCCATTCCAGATCGGCTGCGGGAAACATCCTGAACGAACGTGAGACTCAGTGTTTCTCCCTCCCAGGAGGGGTGAGGACAGCACAGCGGATGCTTCTTTAGAGAGAAACCAGTTCCCCTCAACCCCATTCCACAGTCACACACAGCACAGAATAACAATTCCAGGGGAGGACTCACATTTGTGGGACCCCTACTATGGACCACATACTACAGCACGAGATTTATGTGTTACGATGTCAATGCAGGATGGGTGTTTTTTGCAGATGAAGCATCTGAGGTTTGAGAGTTGAGCTCCTTAGCTAAGGCCATACAACCAGTAAGTATCAGAACTGGAATCTGAACCTAGCTCTTCAACATTGTAAAACTCATGTTCTAATACAGCCTTTGGCTCCATCCAAAATAGTCCTCTGGGCTCTGTGCCTAAAGCAATAGAAAATGTAGACCAAGGACATCAGACTTGGGACAGAAATATTCTGGGACATTTTTGCGGCTAAATGCTCTGGACCTCAGGAGAAAGCCTTCAGACGAAATCTGTGAGGACAAGGGCCTGGGCAGACATCTCCTCTGTTCACTCAACCCCCCAGGGAAGGGTGCTCCAGGCAGAGGGTACAGCATGTGCCAAAGCATGGAAATGTGTTCACTGTCCCCGAAGCAGAGCCAGCAAATGAGGGAGTGGTAGGAGGCGTGGCCAGAGGGATGGGCTGTATTGCCGGACCCTTACTATCATGCTCTTCCTTCTGGAGTAGAATCTGCCCTGAAAAAGGACTCAGGGACTGCACTCCCTAGAGCGCTTCTGATGGTAACGAGGCTCAGCCCAGAGACCACCTGAGTGGGTGACAGTCTCCCAAATATTAGAGGGTTGGCATACTTTCTCCACAAGCTGGTGGGCAGACGGTACTGAAGAGGAGGGAAACAATATATAGTCGTAGCGGTTTCTGAAGAACTTACACATAGTGTCTTGCTCTCTCCTAATGCACGTTTCAAGCAGAATAATGAGTAGAAACATCAGATTCACATTTATCCTGCAGTTTACACCAAAGAAGAGGAGCGAGAGCTCCAAGGCAGCCATTTCGCCCGCGAGATGCACGGGGTGTTGTACGCAAACAATGGCTCGTGGATCACTACAGCAAAAATGAATGATGTATTGCATGGTGACTAACATAATAAAATATAATTAAATTTAAAAAAATAAATAAAAATTAAAATAAAAAAACATGTGGGACATTGTGATTCATAATAAAAAAAAAATATTTGGTCTCTGGCCCCTTTTCTGGCACACAGTTCCTAAAACCCTTGAAATTTCCCATGAGGAGCAAGACAGGTGTCATTTGTCATGTTAACAAGGTGACCTTTGGACCGACCTAAGGATGGGGCTGGTTGCCAGGAGAACCAACCACTTGATTAGAAGGTTGGAGCTTTCAGTCCCACCCCTCAGCTGGGAGGGGAGAGGGGCTGGAGGTTGAATCAGTGGCCACCGTGCAACGGCCAATACTTTCATCAGTCATGACTGTAATGAAGCCTCCATGAAAATCCAAAAGGACAGGGTTCGGAGTGCTTCCTGGTTGGTGAACAGATGGAGATTTGGGAAGAGTGGACTCTCAGAGAACACGGAAGCTCCACGCCCTTGGCCCATACCCATGCATCTCTTCCATGGGTTGTTCCTGAATTCTATCCTTTTACAATAAACATGTAATCTAGTACGTAAAATGCTTCTCAGAGTTCTGTGAGCCACTCTAGCAGATGAACAGAACCCCTACAGGGAATCCTGCTAAGCTCTGATCTATAGCTAGTTGGTCAGAAGCCCAGGTGCTCTGGACTTGGGGCTGGGTCTGAAGTTGAGGTGCGGGTAGTAGCCTTGCAGGACTGAGCCCCCAACCCGTGGCATCTGATGGTGGCATCTGATATTCTCTCTGTGTAGATCGTGTCAGAAGTGAGTGGAATTGTAGAGCACCCAGCTGGTGCCAGAGAATTGTTTGGTGGTATGGAAAAAACCCATACACACATTAGAATTGGGTACAGAAATATAGATGTGACTGGTATTTTCTGTACTTAAACAGCATGACCAAATGTCAGTGCAAGTCATTCAACACACTGACCAGGTTCTTCCTGTGTGCCAGGAACTGGCCCAGGCCCGGAGGATGAGCAGTGAACTCTGTAGGCATGGCCTCTCATGGAGCTTCTAAGGCAGGCGTTAAGCACATAATCACACCCAGGCTCCTTGGCCAAGTCACTGCCACTTTCTCACCTTAGCCTTTCACCTACATAATGGGGATAATTTTGTGAGTAAAGTCAAGAGAGGGATGGGGAATAGCTATATAGAGCTAGAAATACTAAAATGGTACTTGGGGCCATATGATTTGATTTCCATCTCTGGCTATTCCACCCCTCCCCCTTAAGATTTATTTATTTATTTGAGAGAGAGTGCAAGTGCACTTGAGTGGGGGGAGGGGCAGAAGGAGAGAATCCTTAAGCAGACACCCTCCACCCCCCAACCCCCACTGAGCACAGACCCCACCCCACCCCCGACTTGGGGCTCAGTCTCACCACCCATGAGATCATGACCCAAGCCAAAACCAAGAATCAGAGGCTTAAACGATGGAGCCACCCAGGCGCCCCCCGCTCTGGCTATTCTTAAGAGAAGACGTTATCTCTTTTCATGTTCTCCCTAAAGAATCGAAGAATATTTAGGGTTTAGAACAGAGCCCTCTATCCTAAGGTAGCTTAGGCAGTACCATTCTGAAATTTAACTATTCTTCATGGTGATTATTATTTTTTTTTTCCAGGATCCAGAGACCTCCTTTTCCCTTTATTTTGTTTTCTCTTTTCCTCTTGCCAGTCTAGGTCAAAGTGTCTATGCTACCTTCTAAAGCACTGGTTTTAAACAAGTTCTGCCATGGATGTGTGTATGTGTGGTTGGGCGGGGGGGGGGGGGGGGGGGGCGGGGGGAGTTGTCTCTTCAAACCTAAGATTCCATAATGATGAGACTGGAGATTCATGGGAGTTTGCAGCCAGTCCGACTACTCTTGTGACTGTCTTTTCTCTCTGGTAACTCACACTTTCCAAGAGCTCCACTCCTGGGCTTTCATAATGGTCTCCAACCACCATTTCTAGGTGGTCCCAGACCTCTTAATTCCTCTGGTCTCCTGAAAGATTGGTTCTGGCACCGGGTGTGTGTTTCTTCCTGGATGGTCCCAGGCCCACCAGCAGGCAAACCAGACGCAAGCTCCATGTCTATGGATGGGGAAGATCAGAGGGAAACACATCACATCTGGTCTATATCCTGACCGACACATGGCGAGAGGCTCAGAAGACAGTGTGGGATGGAGAGGTGGGGAGACACGGCTGTGAGAGGAGACTGTCTGAAATAATCCCCCATCAGCAGGATTCTGAATGGCAGAATCTTTGTATAGGAAGAGATCCAGGGAGCTTGTAATCCCTCATGCCCATTTGACAGCAAAGAAGTGGAAGCTTGAGAAGCGAGATTACATATTCATAAATAGCAGAGCTCACTCACACTTGAACCCAGGTCTTCTGCCTCCCAACCCAAAGAGAAAAGAGAATAGAGTCACCCTCTGGGCTTGAAACGCCCCGGGGGATTTGGCCGGTGGTAAGGGAACAAAACGAGCTGCTTTCCCTCGAAAATCACCATCGCCTCAGACACCATGCTAAACAGCGTACGATATTTTATCGAATCCATATTGTCACTAAGCATTATAATCTGTGTCCATTTTATTGATGAGGTTAAATGACTCGCTCAACGCTTCCCACCGAGAACATGGCAGACACAGGATTTGAACCCAAAACCCAATGGCAAATGCTGCGTCCACTGGGTCAGACAAAAAGACCCTGGTTTTGCTTTTAAGACAAAGTCTTCCTCTGAGAGGAAAACCAAACCTTACTCGAGGAAGACTTCCCCGAACGCTCCAAGCCACAACAAGCATCTTCTTGACGCAGATGTCTAAATCCTAGGGAATGTGCTTTCCCAACCTTGCTTCTCATGGATCTGAATGCCCACATCTTGAAGACTGATTCCTGCCTTCCTCATATCTCCTAGTATCACTTCCCTCCACCCCACACTTCCCACATTTCAATTCAGTACCAAACTCGAAGGAGATGCTCAAAGAAGATGTGCTGAATCACAGGGAAAACGTCGAGGAAGGGAAGCCATGGGAATAAGGACTTGGCTGTTACTGATCCTTGACCTTCCATTGCAATTAACTCTTTAAGAAACTAAGAAAAAAGCAACTGATTTTAAAATCAAGTCATTTTTATCACCCTGTGAGTTTCCTCATCTGCCACTGGGGAGAATACGTTCAAAGCCCCTAGGCACACAAGAATATTCCAGAAATGGACATTATTATTATTGCTATTTTTCAAGACTGTTACCTCTGTTGATTAATTAACTTAGGATGTATTCTCTCTGTGTTTAATCCAAACTCATTAAGTGTAAGATTTGGGCACAAAGTCATGGCGTAAAGACAGTCATTTAATCCTGACTGTGATCCTAATGCACATAAATCACCTGGCCTCTCTCAGTCCTAATTCCCTTAATGTTTTCACCTGGGTCTAGTCTCACTTGCCAACACTTGGTCACGGCAATGACACCACTGCCCCCCCCCAGCCTTTCTCTGCTCACTTCCCTCTTTCTTCTGGGTCCCCCAACTTGACCCCGTCAGCCCACTGACTCTGAAGGAGAAGTGAGCAGACTGCCTAGAAAAACAGCATGGGGTTGCTTAAAAATTAAAATTAAGGATTAAAGATCAGCACAGCTAGTCTAACTGAAAATAGCTTGGAGATAATTAGCCAAAACTCTCAGCTGAACGAAATCAAGCCACCGAAGCGCCATTACAGCTGGGAGCCCGCCCCCGTCTGTGCATCAGTCTCAAGCGAGGGCTGCAAGCCAGAGAAGTCAGTCCCCAAGGCCCTGCTGGCAAAGTCACTCACCAGCTATATGGTCACATTCCTCTGGACTGGAGTTCTTCCTCTGTCACTTACTAACAGTGTAACCGGGAGCAAGTCACTCCCCCCTTGTGAGCCTCCGTTTCTCTACCTGATAAACAGGAATCATGATCAGGACCTCGTAAGACGGTGGGGATTGAGCTCAGAGCCCTGAGTCGTGCCTTGCTCCAAGCAGGTGTTTGATGGTAGCTAGTTTCCATTCTTTCTGCCTTTTCTTGCCCAAGTTCTTGCAGAAAAGCGACTTCACTTTCTTTTACCCCAGGCTCTGTGCACAAACCCTGAGTCCCGCACAAAGTGCTTGTTGAGATTGCTTATCGCCCCAAGGTGTCTTTGTGTTTGCCTCATGGAACTGAAAACAGAATGAAAAATGGGTCAGAGCCAGGGGCTGTTTAGCCAGGGAGTGACTAACAGCACCTTACACTCTGCCTTTGGATCTGGGGGAGCCCATCTTCCTCCTCTCACCGGCTGCCCCCAGGGCCGAGCCTCCAGTCTCCAGGTTCGAAGATGGGTCGCCAAGGCCATAGATTTTTACACATCTTTCCCTCTCCCTGGCAAATGGGGGTGCAGGTGGAGACGTGGAGGGAA